CTAGGGGCTCCTCAAATCTTTGTAAAACATCATTGATGGAGACACCATGATGGCATCTTCGAGCAAAATACTCTAATAAATTATTCATCATTGTTCAAAATGAAAGTACAGAGCTGACACAGCCATTGCTTTTCTTTGATAATTTTCAGGTATTATAATTATTTTTAAATTTTAAAATTATTACACTCTTTTGTCTATAATAAAAAGAGCGGTGGGGGGTAAACGGTAGTGTCAGAGCTATGCCGCCCGGAATTTCGTTCCTGGTAGGCCACCCAAGGCGGACAGGTCTGACACACACGCCGGCTAACAAGGGCTCTGGTGAAAATCCAAGGAACGTCTGCATCGGTAACCGGCGGATTCTGGTCGTTCCTGTCTCTGCGTCTGTGGGAACCCCGCGGCAAGCAAGAACGTTATCCGAGTAGGCCTGGGTACCCTACTTCTGTAATTTATCCCAAGAATCTTCTTCTCATAACAGGAAGAAGCCGGCTCAATCCGCCCAGGGTGAATGCCGCATCAGTACAGTCAGTACAGTACAGTATAATAGAAAGAGAAATTATAGTCATACACTGTATAATGACAAACAGTAATTGTTTCTATAAAAGAAAAATCCATAACACAAAAAGATTTAACAATTATATTTTTTCAGTCATGTAAGGCAACAAAGCCACTAAGATGCAAGAGGTTACTGAATGTGAAAGATTATAAGAAAAAAACATTATTAAGAACCAAGAACAATAAAGGAACAGGAATTAAGGAGACCGAATATAATAATTGAAGTTTTATTTAAATTTTTGAAGATCAGACTTGATTGGAAAGTAAAAATCCAGAAGAAAGTGTGAGAAAAGAAACTGTCAGCATAGAATTTAATTTCATCTATGCCTTGAACTACAAAGAAAATGTATTGTTCATTATTTTGTTTTAAATATGTATTGTTTTATAATTTTACTATAAATATAGATTTTTGGTAGATTGATTGTTTAGAAGCATATCAACCTCTATGGGATATCTAATGCTGAAATCTAAACATTTTGAATTGTAATTTTTTTTCAACTGCAGAATTTTTATACTTTCAGGGTATTTTTATTAACATACAAAAATATATTTTGTAGATCATAAAATCTATTGCTCATTTTATTATAAAAATCTACTTTTGTTTTGTTTTTGTTTTTGTTTGCGGGTTCACTATTTGTCCATAGTTGGGACCCTAACAGGTGCTACCATCCCGAATATTATAATGGTACACAAACTAGTTTTATAAATTTAAGAGTGAGTTACTGTGCAATATGTATTTTTTGTGGGGTCTGGCAGCACACACTCTAACTATGCCACTGTAGACACCCCAGCTCCAGTCACAGTACATGTACTGCCCCTCCCACCCTAATCGATTATGGGACTCGGGATTATCTAGATTATCTATCTATACTTCCGAGATGAAGTATTATGTACACTGTTTACATTATTCTATTGTCCTTATCTTTGTCGCCTTATTTATTAGAATGTTTCGGCCGTTGTACGCTCCGGCCTTCTTCAGGTGGTTGGAATGTTGAACTGAACCCTTTATTTCGCTCACTGGGGTAGACTGTTCTAGTTCCACGTGCCATGTTTAATGGATGTCAGTTGTCAGTTATCTCCTGTTAATTCCTCTCTCCAAGTTCTCCACTGCCTTAACAGGGTATTGAACTCACACCCTTTGGGTCCTGTCACTAGATCTAACTAACGCCTTTATCCACTGTTCCATGTGTAATAAATATGGCAACAAAGATGAAGACAATAGTCCGAATAATGTAAATAGTGTATGTAGATTATATTGTAGTATTTTTTAAAATAGCTTAGAGCTGTGAAGTCAATTGACAAACACAAATATTTGTTTGGTTTTCAGTTTGAATACTGATTTTTAAAAAAAATTCAAATACTTTTTTTTTTTTTTTCATCAAAACTCAGTTTTTCGATTAATCTGGTTTTGGACAATTTAACACCAAAGACAGTCCGTGGGATGGTTGATTTTTGAATTCCACAACTCCATAGTCAATTACAGCTAGGGTTTGAATTTGAGCCAATCTTAGATCTGGGCCATTGCCATAAAAGAGGTAAGTGTTTTATGTTAAAACCTCGTTAAATAAAATAAGACTCTTATCCACTGGGACTTAATTAGCAGCTATAAACACATGTTTATATATACACCATGCTCTTTCAGAATGACGAATGGGTTTCCACAGCTTCCTACCTTACTTTCACTCTTATGAAGCTTACCAGGAGGTGTTATGATTTGTGATAGGTATCAAAATCCAGAGCTTTGATTATACCGCTGTGAGTTTCCCAGTGACTGGGGTAGGCAGTAGTAGGCTAGCTCTCACCCCTTCCTTCCCAAGCATCCCTGTCAAGCGGGCTGATGAGGGCAAGGCCACACTCCTGCACGTCTACGTTTTCCTAGGTCTACCTCATCCTCTGTAACCAGGAACCCTGAACACCGAGACAGTCCTAATGCATGATGGAGCTCGTTGGATATGACCAAATGATCTAAGATGATGGATGCATAGCACTAATGTTATATCCTCAATAACAAGTCTTGTTAACAACTCGGATGCGGAGGTTTCATATTCATGGTAGTGAATTTGGGACAAACTCTTCACAGATGAAGAAGAAAGAGGCAAGAGAAAGATGCTAAGAATACCATGGACTGAACATGTGAGTAGCAAGGAAGTTTTAAGGAAAATGGAAAAAAAAAGGGATGAAAATTGGAAAGAGAAAAGTGAAATTTATAGGGAACAAAGAGGAAAGACGGTCTGGAGAATCTGTTACCCACAGGACATATTGAAAGCAGAAGTAACAGAGACAGTAGTAAGTAACCTACCTGACAGAATAAGGATTGGAAGAGTTAACAAGAAAATAAACCTTACTAAGATCTTTAAGGAGAGAGTTGTTCTGAAAAGACATGGCATATAGAACTGATTGATTGATTCGATTTCTATAGCTTATCAGCTTCTTGCGGGTTATTTAAAGTCAGAATATATTTTTAGATTGTAAGTATTTTTTTTTAATTTTTGAGAAGATAATGATTTATTGATACAAGTCTTACTAATTAACCTATATCTGGGGGGAGAAAAGGCAGATGCATAAGTTTCCCAAGGTTATTTGTATGTAAGTGAATATGACAGACAAGTGGAATTGAAACACAGTTCTCTGTAGAAGTATAGAAAAGACAGTGGATATAATACTGACAGCCTCAGCAAGGTAAATTGGGGTGTATTAAAGGTTTTCATGTTTTAATCAACACTTTATTGTAGAGTAAAAATTTACTTTAGAAGCTAAATTGCATTTATAGTTATATAATTTATTTATTTTATTTATAGTTATATAGTTTATTTTAGAAGATTTATTTTGTTTATAGTTATATTATATATTGTATTTTATTTTTAAAAATACTTTGCATTTTGAAGCATCAAAATCAAAAACTTTTTCACTTCTGAGATTTCTTACAAGAGACAAATCATTGACCTTAAAATGTTTAAACCAATTTTGGTCAGTATGGTCTGATATTGTTTATTCCACTTGCCAAATTCTGTGATTATCTTGATTTTGTCTCAAAACAGACACAAACATGCATTTAAAGAGACAAGCAATCATTAAAACCAAACAATGAAAGCAGTATCAATGATTTAGGGTTTAACACGACTACGTTTTTTTACAGACCTTTAAGTTCTTTTAAGCTTATACAATTCTACCTATGCTATCTTTCAATGATCCTTGCTCTCCAAAATGTTACCCCGTGCTTGGTGGTTGAATTCCTCTGTCGCGAATTCAAGCGTCCTACGAGGCTGGCATCCCGCTCTCACCCTTTCACTGTTGAAACTGTTAAAAGCAGCCGCCTCTTCTACTCCAATAGCTTCATATCTCACACCTATCGCCTGTGGAACTCCCTTTCTCTATTCCTGTTTCCCTGATAGCTATAATCTACAACTATTCAAGTGTAATGTCAATTGACATCTCCAGTTGCCTTGATCTATCCACTATCCTTCTCCTCATCCTTTCCTCTATCACTCCTATCTGCTCTCGCTTCAAATCCTCTGTAACCACATGCCTGCTAGTGGTTTCCTGCCTTGCTAGGGGTGAAATGCTTAAGAAAATATGTTTTAAAACATCATAATCAGGAAAAAAAAACGTATTAGGTTAGCCAAGGAAGCATCCCAAGAGCTAGGCAGAGTATTGCGAGACAGGAGGATTTCTTTGGTAACGAAGAAAAGAATACAGAGCTGTTACATGACATCTGTCCTTCTTTATGGCAGCGAATGTTGGACGATTTCTTCAAAGATGAAGAAGAGACTCGAAACGACGGAGATGTGGTTCTACAGAAGGATGCTAAGGATATCATGGACCGAGCGTGTGAGCAAGGATGAAGTCTTAGAGAGGATTCAAACAAGGAGGAGGCTTTTACTCAACATCAGGAAGAGGCAGCTGAAGTTCCTGGGACATAATGAGGAGGGAGTGTTTGGAGAATCTGATACTCACGGGTCAAATAGAGGGAGAGAAAGATAGGGGAAAACAACGCATGACATACTGAACGGCTTTAAGCAAGTGGATGACAGAACGTGGTCTGGGGGAGTTGTCAGAGGGAGGGGACTTGTTGAGAGCTGCAAGGGATAAAGAGAGGTGGAGAGACATTATCGCCTACGTCCTTAAAGGACAACGTCACTTAGAAAGAAAAAAATCAGCAAAAGATGGCCATCTAGGATTTAACCTCATTTATAATACTTAAACTAGATTTGGGCAGTATGATCAGATGACGTTTCATTTCATTCAACTTCACAAATTCTGCAAGCAGTGGCTACAAGCCGCCATTTAAAACAAAATGCTTGAAATTTCTTGAACATCATAGCTTGTAACCTTAATTTTTATTGGATATGGTTGCTAACCTGAGAGCAAAGAACTTCTTTACAGGGCTTAAGAGACCCCTACTCACGACAGCATAAAAAAATGTAATTTCTCTTTTATTTATTTGGTCAATGATATACGATTTTACAGTTCAAAATGGATGCTTAAACGGAACGTTATTTTCTTCTCGTATTAATTTTTTTAATAATTTAAATTTTTTTTTCACTTCTATCTTTATACAACTTCTCTTTCTACATCTCTTGATCTCTCCCAATCTCTCTCTCTCTCTCTCTCTCTCTCCAACTTTCGTTATCTCTCAATATCTTTTCCTTTCTTTCTCTCGTTCTCCACACCTCTCCCCAATTTCTCGTTCTTCAATCGTTCGTTGTCTGTCTATCTCTCTTTATAGCGATCTGTCGCTCTATCTCTTTCTACGTCTCTTGTTCTATTTCCATCTCTCTTTATCTCCGTCGCTCTCTTTCCAACTTTCTCTCTTTACGCCTCTATCTCTTTCCAACTTTCTCTCTTTACGCCTCTATCGCTTTCCAACTCTTTCTTCCCTTTTTATTTTTTTATTTTTTTAAATATGTTTCAGTTGACTTAAAAAGTGAGTCGGGCGGAGAAATATTTTGCTATCTGTATTTTTTTCCCCCTCCGGGTAATGAATATCGTGTATATAACTTAATCTTCCACATTCACCTCTATCAGAATAGCGCCACACATATGTCAAAATCACACGGATGGGTTAATAAAAGCAAGTCACGGAGAGACGTGTACAGGAGTAGACGAGGAAATGGCGAAAGTGAGTGATGAGACAAACAGAACATTAGTCATCAAGAAATGAATTTTTATTTACTCATAACAGGAATAATGTTTTAAAATATATACGTGTATAATAAATCTTGTGTTTTTATACGACAGAAATAAAAGAATATCAAAATAGTATGAATATTTGGCACGGTGGATTAATGGAATCGGAGAGCCGAGTTCGAATTCCAGTCAAATCCATTACCTTCACTTACGTGCTAATACCCTTGGGGAAGGTATGAGTCCTCTTCTTCTCCCCCCAGATATGGGTAAATAGCAAGAAAGACCAGGTTCTATAGCCTTGGATGGCAACGAGGATCTCTGATATATATTTTTTTTTTTACTAATAGTAATTCTAACCAGGTAGGCACAGTGCAGTAATGGATAGCAGCTTGGATTGAGGAATCAGAGAGCCGAGTTCGAATTCCAGTCAAATCCATTACATTCACTTACGTGCTAATAAACTTAGAAAAGGCATGAATCCTCTACTTCTCCGCCAGCTATGGGTAAATAGCAGGACAGACCGGGTTCTATAACCTTGGATGGCAACTGGTCTACAGCAGAAAGAAATGGCAACCTACCGCGGGAAAAAAAAACTCTGCCTCATCATTCATATATCGAAAGATACATGATCGCCTAAGCGTGTATCATGCATGGCACATAACTGACTGACTATGAGTAAATAGCAGGACAGACTGGGTTCTATAGCCTTGGATAGTAACTGGTCTACTGCAGAAAGAAATGGCAACCTACTGCGGGGAAAAAATCTGCCTCGTCAGTCATGTATCAAAAGATACATGATCGCATAAATGTATATCACGCATGACACAAAACTGACTGACTATGAGTAAATAGCAGGACAGACCGGGTTCTATAGCCTTGGATGGCAACTGGTCTACTGCAGAAAGAAATGGCAACCTACTGCGGGGAAAAAATCTGCCTCGTCAGTCATGTATCAAAAGATACATGATCGCATAAATGTATATCACGCATGACACAAAACTGACTGACTATGAGTAAATAGCAGGACAGACCGGGTTCTATAGCCTTGGATGGCAACTGGCCTACTGCAGAAAGAAATGGCAACCTACTGCGGGGAAAAAATCTGCCTCGTCAGTCATGTATCAAAAGATACATGATCACATAAATGTATATCACGCATGAGAAAAACAGACTGACTATGAGTAAATAGCAGGACAGACCGGGTTCTATAGCCTTGATGGCAACTGGCCTACTGCAGAAAGAAATGGCAACCTACTGCGGGGAAAAAATCTGCCTCGTCAGTCATGTATCAAAAGATACATGATCACATAAATGTATATCACGCATGAGACAAAACAGACTGACTATGAGTAAATAGCAGGACAGACCGGGTTCTATAGCCTTGGATGGCAACTGGTCTACTGCAGAAAGAAATGGCAACCTACTGCGGGGAAAAAATCTGCCTCGTCAGTCATGTATCAAAAGATACATGATCGCATAAGCGTGTATCACGCATGGCACGTAACTGACTGACTGGTTGTTCCCAGCATTTAATAGAACTTTCGGGATGAACTAGTACTTTAAATTACATTAACTTAGAAATATGTTTTTAATATGAAAAGAAAATATTTTAAAATTATATTCACTTGAAAATATTTTTAAATATGCAAAAAAATATATATTCTAAAAAATTTTTTTTGTTTAAAGAAAGCTGAACTATAAATACTTACTCTACGAACAACTGGACGAAACAACAAAGCGGGATTTCTTTGTGTCTCTAAAAAATATTTTAATTAAAATATTGTCCGTTTGAAGAAAGTTAACATAAAAAAATACTTACTGTATAAACAGCTCGTATGTTTAAAACCTTATTCACTTAAATCAGATTAACTTAAATCATTATGCGCTGGGCAGACGTATCACGCAATCACAGACTTTTAGTGTTATATAGATAGACAGATGTATACAAACAATTTTGGCACAAGGCCAAGTGGGAAGAGGCTGATTAGCATGATCTTAAACCGAGCTAACTGATTCACTAACCATTTGTTGATTAGAATTTACTCATTTACCACAAGAACTCGTCCATCACCATTCATTCCAACATTTATTCGCAGGTAACCTACAAAAACATCTACGATATAAAAACTTTAAATGTATCTTTTCAATTTTTTTTTTATAAAAATATGTAAATATTTACTGATATAAAATGACAGGTGTCCGGATTGAACCTCCAAAAACGAAACTAAAATATAACGAAACATTCAAACTAAAATAAAATATATTAGTAGGACCCGTCCACCCCAACAAAAATGAGAGCGGCCGCTGTAGTCTGCATAATCAAGAAGCTCGCTGACTAACGGAAAGGGAAGGAGGAAACGGTGATATAGGCCGTTCGGTTGTCAAACTCTCCGCCTCGGCGGAGAGGAATTTGGACGAATCTTTGCCGAAGGGCAAAGTTTCGTCCGGGGAGGTAAACAGGCCCTGATCCCGTCTAGGCGGATTCAAAGGGAATATTTTTGGCCGAACCTACGGGCTCGGAGAACCCACAATAAACTAGCCTTGTGCCACATACGATCCACGTGAGGGGGGTGTTAAATATAACGAAAAGGGAAGGATAAAAATAAATAGTGGAGTTGGGAAAATCAAAGACTGACCCAGTAGAGAAAAAGGGGGCAAAAACAAACTGGGGAGGTTGGTAATCTTGATGTGAATCATAACAAAAGAGAATGCCGGGAACAACAATTACTAAATAGGAAATAGGAAGAGTAAAGAAATCACGCGCGTGACTCAAGTTTATATATATGGGAACCTCATGAAAAATGTTTGGCTACACCTCAGCCAATCACTGACTTCTCGACTGAGATATAAATAGGTGCCGTATACGAGCGGCAAGTTGGTTCTACTAATCATTACAATCGAATTTTATACCCCCTCAAAATGCTACTACAGATATCTATATATCTCTTTTTTTGTTTTTCTTTTCTTTTTCAATAAGAATTTCACCCCAAACAAGGTGGGAATGTCACTAGTACGCAAGGGGTTACAGAGAGTGAAAGTAAATAAAAGATTAGTTGGGATTGAGGAAATGATAAAAAGATGAACGGAGATCAAGGGATCAGAAGATGTTAGTTGACATTACAACTAAATTTTTGAAGATTATAGTTATCAGTGAAGTAAGTAAGAGGAAGGGAGTTTCACTGCTGGGAAGTGTGAGAGAAGAAGCTGTTGGAGTAGAAGAGGTGGTTATATTTAACTGTTTCGACAGTAAAAAGGTGGGACGGAGATACCAATTTAGTAGCATGCTTAAATTCATGCCGCCTGGGCACCAGTAAAAATAGCTCGTCAGAGCAGATGCCATGAAAATATTTATAGAAAAGACACATAGAAGAAAAAGAACAAAACCATGTTAGTTATAAAGCCCAAACAATACCGCTGTTATGTTTTGCATATCTCTCTGCGTAGTAGTAGTCGTCGCCGTCGCAGTAGTAGTAGTACTACAGTTCTGTGTCCTGAATAGAAACCGAGTTTGCTAGGCATAGTCCCCATGTTCGCCAGTTGTTCTCTATTTATACTTGTCTATCTAATATGCATACGATACTACAGCCACCTTGTTAGTTAACCGGATGAAATTAATGCGCGACTAAAATAACTGAAAAACAATCGATCGCCCAAACACTCGCTCATACAGACATACGCTCATCGAGACACAGACACAAATACGAAATGCACAAAGCAAGCTTCTGCATCAAAAATACACAGATCTCGGGATATACTGACTATTGCTACATTTACAAATGAGATTAAGCTCTAATTAATACAACGATATTCAATGTCTATTGATTACGGAGATATTTGTCTCAAATAAAAGGTCTGATTACAAGTCTATACCTGAGTAAAACTCGTACGTATGAGAAATATAGAATACGATCAATAAATCAATGTGTACAAAGCTATGAGATGTAGAACTCTATTGGAATGCAACAATTCTCTTATGTCCTAATCCGCTTTCTTCACTGTGTCCCAGAAACCTCAACTGTCCCCCTTCCTATCGGAAGTACACACAAGTAAGAGGACAGTTGTGTTGAGTTTTTTTTTTATTTTCTGGAAAATATCCCCGTTACTCACAACCTCTGTTCCTGGTTATTCTCAGCATCCTTCTATAAAACCGCATCTCTTTTGCTCCAGACTCTTCATCTGTAAGGGAAAATATCCCTATTACTCACAACCTCTGTTCCTGGTTATTCTCAGCATCCTTCTATAAAACCGCATCTCTTTTGCTCCAGACTCTTCATCTGTAAGGGAAAATATCCCTATTATTCACAACCTCTGTTCCTGGTTATTCTCAGCATCCTTCTATAAAACCGCATCTCTTTTTTGCTCCAGACTCTTCATCTGTAAGGGAAAACATCCCTATTACTCACAACCTCTGTTCCTGGTTATTCTCAGCATCCTTCTATAAAACCGCATCTCTTTTGCTCCAGACTCTTCATCTGTAAGGAAAATATCCCTATTACTCACAACCTCTGTTCCTGGTTATTCTCAGCATCCTTCTATAAAACCGCATCTCTTTTGCTCCAGACTCTTCATCTGTAAGGGAAAACATCCCTATTACTCACAACCTCTGTTCCTGGTTATTCTCAGCATCCTTCTATAAAACCGCATCTCTTTTGCTCCAGACTCTTCATCTGTAAGGGAAAATATCCCTATTACTCACAACCTCTGTTCCTGGTTATTCTCAGCATCCTTCTATAAAACCGCATCTCTTTTGCTCCAGACTCTTCATCTGTAAGGG